TCGCACGCTGAGAACGAAAGTGACCGATTTCAAAATTTACGATTTTTGGAAATAGATAAAAATGTGTCGGACACATTCACGATATTCCATTTATTCGCCAATAAATTAATATTATGACAACATAAGTTAAAAAAATCGTTTTTGTATCATTATTGGACTTCATTACCATAAATATACATTATTATTTTTTTTTATATTTTATATTTATAATATAGAATAACATTTTTAAAAAAATAGGTCACTTTAGAATTGAAAGTATTGTAATTCCTGATGACTTTTTTGGTCAAGGGTCTATATTATTTTGAGCAGTACTAAAAAATATCAATCCTTTTTCAAAAAATGACACTTTTTCTCTAAAAAAGGTTTGCAGTCTTACACAAAAGGACAAAATGAAAACAATGAAAAATTGTTAAGTGATATTGAGTCACTTCTGAGGTAAAATAGACTTAATAATAATATATAAACAAGAAATATGAAATAATAATTAAAAATTGTATCAAAAATAGGTATCATACAACACAGTGAGTATTGTTCTAACTTACTAGAGGTTTAGTAAAAAAAAGACAACTTTTCAAAATAATACTGGCATAGAAAAATCAACACAGTCTTTCATTTATTCATGACTTAGTTTCATAAATCAAGTAATGACTCCACACAAAAGTATTGTTCTGACTTAAACTAATTATAAAAACATTCTTAAATTGGAAAAAAATAACATAAAATAATTATTTTTGTAACAAATTAAAACAGGTTTCTCTTAAATCAACACTAGTCTAAAATAAAACAACAGTCTTCCAAAATATAACTTAGGAACTTTGTACTTACTCTCCACTACTATAATTACTATTCAAACATACTATTTATTTTTTAAGATACATAGTATATTAACTTTTTAAGAATCACTTATTATTAAGTACGATACATAGTATATTAGCTTTTTAAGAATCACTTATTATTAACTTTGTTATTACAACGATTAATCTATAAGGAATTATAAAAACTCGCATATATGCTAGGTATTAAATTTTTTCTTACTAAATCTTTAAGATCTCTTTTTTTATTTTCTTTTAACTCTATTGGTTGCTTATACAATTGTTCAATCAGGATTTCGTTGTAACTTAACATTTTTTTACGTTTATTCCTCATGTCAATCTCAGAGAACACCTCATCAGAATATGATATTTTATAATACAAGTGAAACAACTCCTCTTTAATAAATTTTATTGATTTAATTTCATTCCACAATACTGGTAATTTATTTATATTTTCGTTAAAATTGTATGCCCATTGTTCTTGGAGTTTTTTGAGATTTAAGAAAAATTCGTAATTTATTTCTTTAACGATGAAAGGCTTTCCTGATTTACGAGCGCTTTTAATTAAGGTAGCGAATTGAACAGGTATGTATAAGGGTCCAGCTTTAATGTTTTTTTTAATTTCTTTTTCAATTAAGCTGTGTACATTATCAGCTTCATTTTGAGTATGTCCTTTGATTAGATACTTATGAGTAATACTGTAAATATTATCAAAATATGTGACAGCATAGGAGTATAAAGTGGCAATGATTTTATTTTTATTTTGACCTGTGCAGTTGTCAGAGTAAAAAGTTACATGTAACTTCTTACCTGCGTTATTTCTGTTTAAAGTACTAAGGTAATCAAAAATACACGAACCTATTTCATTGGCACCTCTTTGGCCTTGGGTTTCATCCCAAAAATAACAATAAACATCTCCGTAAGACTTTTTATCATCCTCCCCATTTTTTAATTGTGTAATTGTAAAATTAAGACAGTTTATTTTGGAAGAATAGTAAAAATAATCAGGACTAGGACATAACATAACAGACTGAAGGTCATATATTGCGCAAATATGTGTCTCATCAATATTTTGACGATCCATCCGTTTTTCATTGCGACACAGTTCTTTTTCTTTAAGATGTGTATCATATTTAGGTTTTAGCAGTAATTTCGTACTTGCGGGGGCAAGTTCATATGCAACACACGTTTCACACCTATCTTTTTTCGCCTGGAAAAAGCTTATATTGAAATCTTTATTAAAAGTGTTCAGGTATAACCAATAGTCGCACTGCGGGAGACTTCTGTCTTTTTGTTCATTATTAAAATCAGTCCAGAGGTCTCTGATAGTTTTACTGTCAGATATGAATTCCCTACTAGTCGTAGCTCTTAAATAATGAGACTCGACCCTCGGTATCGTATTTATGTGATTTTTGATGCATTGTATTAGCTCAGGGTCTACCCTTTTTTTGTTTTCATGCCGACCTCTACCCTCAGGTTCTACGAAACCATGGCTATTAGTTTTACTCTTGACAGTTCTTAGTTGTCTATCCGATATGTCTAAAGTATTTATAAAAAATTGTTTACAAACACGAATTCTATTACCATTTACAGTGAAATAAAACGCATTGTTTGGCAGGCGAGGATTTTGAGCATTAGAATATCTATATCTAGGTTGTACTTCCATCATGGATGCCCTAATATATGAACGTTGTAATTCCAAATTGGACAAAGCCCAATAATTCTTAAATAATTCAGATCTCTCAGTCTCATTTATATTATTGAAACACTTAAGCCTACACTTACTTGTACAAGTTTCTTTGATTTGTCTAGCTGGAATGACTTTTTTAGATTTTGCCATAGACCTATAACTCTCTCCAGAGTTTCTTGACTTTTTAGATTGGTTTTGCTTCCAATTAACAGGGTTCCTTTTTCGTTTTCTACTCTTTGAGGGTTCTGGTTGGACCAATGAATTGGCAGATGAAGAGCTGGAAATACGTCTACTCCTTGGATTGTTGGATTGTTCAGTATGGTATGTTGGATCTGAGTCGCTTAGATCCACATCACTTTCTTGTGGATTAACTGGCGATTGAGTGTACGAACGTGGAATACCTGCTTGAGGCCTTAAATTAGTACTTGGGCCAGGAATTGCTACAGTCTCAGATTTGTCCGTGCTACTGGAGGATGAAGATCTGCTACTGGAGGATGAAGATCTACTCGAGGATGAAGATGAAGATGAGGATGAACTGCTACTACTTGAAATTCTTGAACGTGGCCGGACGGCAAACACTTTACTTGACGTCTTATCGATAGTTTCTGATGCATCATTTATCTCTTGCTGAGGATTCTGAACATCCTGGAAAAAAGATAAAGATTACAAAATCTAATTAAATAGGTATGAGGTTTCACACCGCTAATAAAAATAATGAAACACTTACACCTATCGGTTTCAATATCTTGTTTTCGCGTAATGCTATTTGAATGCCCTGGTCTGGTGGTGGTGAATTTTCTATAATAGAAGGACTAGATGGTACATTTTCCTTGTCGATATCACAAGCCTCATTAGTATTCTGCAAACAAAATCTTAGTTTACAACCATTCTGTACATACGTAATGATAAAAAACGAGAATATAAAACGTTTAGGTACTTAATAAATAACGGCTAATTAAACATTTCAATACTTTAATTAAATAAAAAATAATTAATTACCTCGGTTTTTTGTTTTTCGTCCACCATTTGAAGTATTAATGCACTCCTTTTCATTTTTATCTTTTTAGATAACAGGCTTAATTATGATATTATGCAACTCTGAAAAACAATAAAGTGAACTATTAATCAATATGTCTTTTGTAAAACACATCATAATAATGTTAAAGAGTCTTTTTTTATAATAGTACAAATAAAAAAATATCTATTTAATATTAAAATAACCTAATTTACAATGAGTCTTTGAGTTAAACTTATACGTGAATAAATAAGTGACTGAACTTGATTTTGGACACATAAGTTGCTTATATAAGAAAAGGTAAAGTGACCTTTGTCTCAATCGGTCACTTTATGATTAAATATTGAAACAAAACTTACCTCCTAAGTTGATACAAAACAGGCTCAAAGCGTAATCGGTCACTGCTGCACTAAACTCGTCACGACCTGTTTACATCACGTGCGGTACAATACTGATTACGTCTCTTTCCCTCGGGCGCGGCGCGTGTAAAGCGGTCTACTAAAAAGAGACCGAATATGTGTCCTAGCTCTCTCTGACCATATTAGGTCCGTTTTTTAATACTAGTGTGGTAGCGTATACTTTTTTGAGTCATTACGTATAATTAACTCATTTTATCAAAATTTTGAAATAGGTCACTTTCGTTCTCAGCGTGCGATATAATGTATGTTTTTATGCATTTCTTACCTGTACTTGAAAAATGGTAAAGACCATAAAATCCTTTGTCATCAACAGCCTATAAATGCCCACTGCTGAGCAAAGCCTCTTCTCACACGTAGAAGGTTTGAGCATTAATCACCACGCTTGCTGAGGGTTGGCGATTACAAACTTATAATTAGAAATTATAAGCCCAAGTTATCCTCTCGATATAACTCGGAATAAGTCACATTGGTACTTGCCGTTGGTAGATTTCGAACCCGTCGTCTTAAACGTCCGAGCCATCGCGACTATTCTCCTATATAATCCTTTGTCAGTTATATAAAATGAATTAATTATTATGTTTATCCCAGATGGGGCTATAACACTCCCCCGGACAGTCCGCGTGGGTTTGCGCGTCAGTCCTCGCTGCGGTACGAGGGGATCATACCAGAGCTCGACATATACGCCATACCCAGCCAAGAGAGTAAGTATCATACTTTTAATATTGAGAAGAATCAACGCTGAAATAGTCTCTCTAAACTCAGTATGACGGCTAAAAGTTCAAGTATTAATTATATTTGTTTGTTACTCAGGTGCTCCTAAAAAAGAGATATACTTCGTCGCTTTGATTGACGTGCTGACGCATTATGGCGTTAAGAAACAGGTAAGCAGCGCTTTTACCAAGTGGAGAGAATGTTTGAGTCTCAAACCGTTTCTTAACTCGTTGAAAATTGTTGAAAATCATCCCCTAAATTTGTTCATACAAAAGTAGTCTCTAAACATTGGAAACAAGGTCTATATAAATTGGTCGAGTTCCTCGTCAAATTATTACGTGAGTAAGCCGAAAACATAATAATTTAAGGTCTATAATGTAGTTAGTGGAGAGTGGTCACCGGTGACCACTTGGGGGATATATGGGATAAAAAAGAAAATTTACATCTGAAGCAATTAATTGACAAAAATACATAGTGTCGTTAATCTAACATTCAATTTTGCAGGCGGCGAAGGCAGCGAAGACTGTAAAATACGGCAGCAACGTGGACGGTATCTCGACCTGCGACCCCGAGCAATATGGGAAACGGTTCATAGAGTTTGTAGCCAAGGCCATCGAGGGCAACTAGGTCCACAACCGCACAACGGTGCTTCTTTTAGTACTTATACTTGGTCATATTTTCATTTCACAAGGATTCCGTAACAAATGGAGTGCTAATTTGACTTAACGAGTGATTTAATGACATAAGAATTGCATCTGTCGCAACTTTTAACCATGATCATCTTCATATCAGCCATAAGATGTCCACTGTTGAACTCTCATAGGTCTTTAAAGTATCTTTTTTTTCTCCTAATCTTCCTCCTAATACTAATAACGTAGGCTGTCAACAAGACCTATTACTTTTTATTCTATCATTAAGTTAAATCTTGATGACAATCTGTTAGCATTCCATTTGTTTACTAATCTATGTTATTATATTTAAAGATGGCGTATCCATGTGTTAAAGTTTTTACAACATTGCCTAACGTTAAATTATATTGTAATGTTTTCACAATTGGCAGATTTATTGATGATTTTAAAACATTTTCAACAGTTTGTAGTTTAAACAGGTTCATGGAATGATTTTCATTTCTATTTTATTAAATATTTGACAAGACACTTGGTACCCATCAACGAATGTTTTGGACTGAGCAGACACACTTTCTAGATTTTCCTTTTAATAGAAATTCAATGTAAACAACATATTATATCATGAAGAAATCAAGGCAAATATTGTGGACTGTTAAAAGTTCTGTGTTCGCTACATTGTTTAGTTTCCTCTAGATCACTCAATAGACCTTTTTAAGTTCGCTCATCGACCCTTTGTTAGTAAATAATTGGAGTTTACAGGGTGACGTAGATTGTAAAGGCCTGGTAGTTTGTTTAGATGAGTTATCCGTTCAATTTACAACTAAAACTTAAATATTTGTCTAGCTTACCTGCGTTAGTTCTTTACTTATGACTAAAAATTACGTTCACGTAGTTAGGTACTGAAAGAAGCACCGCTTAATTGTTACATCTTGTCTAAGACAAGAACCACGATACAGTAAGTGTAATAACGTCGATTCTTATTGAGAATATAAAATGCAAATAAATAAAATTCTAATGTTTAAAAATCGTAGTAAAGAGGCATGTATTGATATTAGCGATTATGCGACACGATTGGACAATTTGCGAGAAGTTTGTAATTTTTATCAAATTAAAATTATGATATCGTCGTATTTTATTCGCTTCGCGTGCGAATATTTGAACACTGTGCAATAGACATGTTAAAGGCTGATTTGTACTATATCGTGGAAAGCGCAAACCGAGGTTGTAAACGGAAAATTCGCTCGAAGAAAAAGTATCTATAGTTATCGACGAATGCCTAGTACCCTCGCATCGGGTATTCTGCGGTTTAGCATGACTCCAGTTGCATCCAGGTCGGTCATTGTCCGAAACAGGGACGGTTACGGGTTGTTCGGGACCCATGTTTTTAATAATAATTCTACACTTTCGTCTTGATGTTTGCAATAATAATAATAAGCGGACCCTTTTTGACAATATTCACGTTTTATTCTCACTCTGAGTCCCTGTTTTGTGCTGTTTGAATCTTATTGTTATAGTGCTACGTTTGAGATTGCCTTGTCTTTTCAATTAAGACTGTTAGCAGATTTTACACCAACATAGTTTAGCTAGTTTTACAATCGAAGGTGTAAAATGTTTGGGAAAGTAGTGAGCATATTTAATATTTTATGATAATTCACTATAATATTTCGTCATTTGTAACATCGTTCTCTATATTAGCAGTATAAGAGATAATAAACGACAATACAAATTAAATTAGGTCTCGTATTCGTACGAGGCATGTTGAGGCGATCTCAAACATAGTATTTCTGCTACTGCGCACTTTCCCGATACCTAAATAATATGAGTATACCTTTCTACGAGACATTGCAGTGGAGTTCGCTCGTTTTTCTTCATCGAAACACTGAAATGTAAATTGTAATTCTGTGCAGTTATAAAAATCAAAGTACGCGTGTGTTGACAAACAGCATATTAGTATAATATGCAAGACACGAATAGTAGTATAATATGGATGACAAGACGGTAAGTTTTGTAACCCTCCATTTTATACCTAATCCGTGTCATCTACATTAAAAGTAAAAGTGTTTGTCAACGAATCATGCAGCAAAATTGCAATGTAACAAGCAATATAAAGAAATACTGCCGTGTTTACCTCAGAATACAATAATAAACTTTAATATACCTTAAAAGCACGTTCGCAATAATTTTCATAACTCGTTATTAGCTTTTTATAATGTTCCGCTAACGCGTAGTTTAGTAATTGACAAATTATAATGAATTAATAATATTAATAAAAAAAAAAATGTTAAAATATCATTGGATTAGGATGTTGACGTGTTACGGTTGGCCAATTAAACTTTATCAGAATACTTGTATACTAATATTATTGGCCGTTGTATTGTATCTTATTATAATGCCTTCTATAATATTCTATATCGTTTCAAGTACACAAGTTTTGTTCATAATAAACGTCGTAATCCCCTGGGAAGTATGGATCGACATGTACGAACTTATGAAATTTGTCAATAATACATTATTGGAATTTAAATGTTAAATAGTGACTTTAGTACATGTAAAATGGTGTTAATGGAAATTGAGTAATTTGTGTCGATCCATACTTTGTTAACAAGTATGAGAATTATTGAAGTAGTATCGACATGATTCAGGTATCGAACTTGATTGAAATATTTGCTTGTCAATAAAGCTCATAATTGCCTGTACCCAGGGCAAACTGTTATACAATGTATTCGGTATTGTACTCGTTAAATAACAGTTTACTATGTATTCTATAAAATGGGCAGTAAGGTCCAGAGTTGTATAGAGGAACGGCCATTGTTAAGAGTCGGTGTTTCACCCAATACATACGTCGTTTTGCCAATATACCCATACCTAGTTCGCTTAGTTCTGTCTAGAGTAGTGTTTTTAATAGTATGATGTAAGATTTTGTTATTTATTATTCTATATTTCGAATAAGACTTGGATTGTTATGAAGTCTTTGTGATTTATTCTGTGAAAATTCATGCGCCGTTTACGGTGTACTAATAATATTGGTAAATTTTATACTTTATGCGTAGTCTCCTCGACACGTTACGTTACGAGTCCGGGCTACGCCATATCGAATGTTCAACTGACCTCAGAATAAGATCACTGTAATTTTTTTAACTTTTGACTGTCTATCGGGAAATATTACAAGATTCATGGAAATCAGTATTTCAGGCTCCCATTGGTTTGCCTACGATTTGAAATAATTTTGTCAGATGTTAGTTTTTGTGATAGATATTGTTTACTTTTAGATATTAATTTTATATTAGATTCGAGTTAACCACTTCACATTTCTAAATTGATAACGAACGAGGAGTTTTGTTACGAAGTGGTCGGCTTCAGTAGTTTAGAAATCCTTTGTTACCCTCTTAGAGAAGAGGATTTTTTTTTATTTTATCCCGGACCCTGTCTAAAGATTCCTGAACAATGTGTTAGTCATGAAATGATTCAAATTACGTCATATGTGTTGCCATTGTTTAGGTCGGTAATTGTATTTTAATTTGTAGTTATGTTATTTTGAATAGGTTTTATCTTGTTATCGGTGACGGTTGAAGCCACGAGCCCGCAATGTACGGCATATATTTATTAAAACGATAGCTTCGCTACATACATATTCGGCATGTAAGCAACACGGTTGAAATGTTAATTCTCTAGTCTACTACTCTTGTAAAGACAAAAAAATGTGTATGAAAAATTAAAACTTAATTTTTTAAATATTCGGTTTATAAAGATTCTGCATTATAAGAGTTTTATTTATTTATTACCACTATTCCCGACACTACACTGCTACCAAGCGTACTTATTGGAACTTTTAACTAAGTGGAGTGTCTATATCTCCAGTGACTGGCAGTGATCAGATATGAAGAGCTGAAGATTGAGCTTAGTGGCGACTGGCGAGGCATTGGAGAAGCCTAAGCTTATCACTGAAAGAAAAGAGGCAAACGAAGATGATACAATTTATCAATAAAAGTCAGAACATAAGTTTTAAAATAATTTTATTAGTAAAAGCTCCCCAGACCGACGTATCTTACAATAAACTAGTCCATCCTCGTCTTGACGTGTTTCTCAGTAATCTTGTCTTTCTCGATAATGTACACGACCGCGCCCCAACCAGAGATGGCGTCACGATCGGCTGCGTTTACTAGCGCCTGGGAAGTTACGAGAGAATATTGACTAAATCATATTTAGAGAAACTGGTTATATTGTTTGTTTTATTAATATATTGGTAAAAATCATATTGAATTTAGATAACTATGAGACAATGTAAAGTTTGGAAGACATGGTGATTTTCAGGGGTAAAAGATGTGAGCGACCAGTAGTTTTACGTTCATATTTGACAAGTTACTTTTTTAAGCACTATAGTGGACAAAACACTGTTTACAGGCCACTAAGAGCTGAATTTATGGAATAGTATGTTTCAGGCAATCGATAGGCTGATGAGAGTAAAGCTACATAAAAACATATCTTACCTGTGAGATAGTTTCAAACAGCTCATCAGGAGACAGGTTGGGTTCCCACAGAGCTTCACACATACCATACAGCTGTTCTGAGCAGGTACCTGACACTACAAAGTCTTCAGGCTCGTTGGGGCAGCCAATCTGAGAAACAATACATTTATCAGAAAAATTTATTTCAAGTGCAACTATAAAATAAAATAACATTGAAAACTTGGTGTTATATTTACCAACAATGAATTAGTTGTATGGATTGTGGTAACAGGGACTGGGGAGTATTCATTAATTTCTCTTAGCAGAGCGTAACACAAGTAATAGGTAAACAAAGGTTGGTTATTGTAAGAGAACAAACTACCCATTTATCCTATGCTATTATATAAAGCGGAAGAGTTTGTTTTTTTTGTTTGAAAGTGCTAATCTCCGTAACTACAAGTCTGATTTGAATAATTCTTGTCTTGTGTTTGTGTTGGATAGTGCATTTATCGAGAATGGCAATAGGCTATAAACATCAAGCTACAACAAATAGGAGCTGAGCAGAGCATGTGAAACCACGCAGAAGTAGCTAGTTATTTTATATTTATTGATATATGGAATGTGGCTAACTGAAAACTTCTATGGCAATAATATGTTAATATCAGATAAGTAAATACATCTTACCAGATCCATATTGCACACATAGGGCTGGTTGTCATAGGGGTCCAGTCCAGCAATGACGGGTTCAATGAAGTAAGGTCCAAAGCGCCTCTCGTACAACAGGTTGGACAGCATTGCTGAGAATGTCTTCGGTCTCATCATTCTGTTCTCCTTGAGCTCATAGAGGTTCATTCTGGAATTAAATGTATTATGATAATGAAGATAGTAATGTTGTTATATTGTATAAGTTAATAGTTACTCTGGAATGGCACTATATGAAATGTCTTATGAGAGTGATTTTTTTTTAAATAATGCTTTAAAACACTGGTTCGAATTAACACATTCAAAAGAAGACAAGAACAGAACCAAGCCTTCAAATCCAATCCAATAGTTCCTTACCTAAATTTTAATCTCTGGAACACGGTCTGTGTATCAGTAGCCAGGCCGGGGAGGCCGACGTACAATGAGGGGCCCATTTGGTACACCTTGGGGAAGTTCGTGGAAACAGTTTGGGCCTGAATACCAAACCGTTTGTCTGTTGCGATCGCCACGCAGTCCTTGCCTTTCATGGCGACCACAGCACCTCCGTTATAAGCTAAAATAGACTGAAAACAAATAAGACAGTGGTCAGGTATATTCAGATTCTCATTGTATATTATTTCATATTTACAGCAAATGTCACAAAAATCGTATTTTGAAGGTTGAATTTTCATTAATTTCTATTGAGTATCAAGTTTATAAGTCTAATTGCAGTAGAAAGCTAAGCTTTAGCAGAACAAAATACAAATTATGCATCGTAATGTTCATGACGCTATCATAACCAATTTTCTATTTTATTCCCCTGTTTGTTACATTAGAAACAAATCAAAAGTAAAGAACGGTAAAATCTGCTTACCATTTTGCTTTATGTAAATAAATCCAGCTATTTTCTAATAAAAATACAGCAATAAACTTTACACGGGAAACCGAAAAAGTGACAATTCATCGGCGACTTTTTTGCACAGATAATACATAAAGTCATAGACAGTTATAATGTTGCCATTGTTAGGACGAAACAGTTGTCTATGGATTAATGAAAAAAAGAGAATATTTTGAGAGGAAAAGTAAACACTTACCAAACATTACCTTTTATTTTGCAGATTTAATTTTGTTTATCGTTTTTTTTACAAATAGTCATTAGAACAATGTTTTAATGTGTTATAAACATTTTATAGCACAACAAAGAAATATTTTAAAACGGGTTTGGAGTGGGATGTAGTTCTTGTAGCTCTTTTGCATACATGTCCCGGCGGGCCGTCATATTAAAACCCCAGTGGTCTTTGACTTGACGACAAAGATTTAAATCCATTTCCACCATAAGAAGTCCATCTCTGTCTCTTGATAGGCTGGGAGTCCGGTACCCGTTAGGAGCAGTAATGTAACTTGATCCATAGTAACTTCTTGATATGTCTTTCTGAGTATTTCTGGTGGTAAAATCTTCTGTGCCTACTCGGTTGAGACTGCAAGTATAATAGCTATTAGCAATCGCAGCATTGCGAGCTTCTATGCCCCAAAACGATTCTCCAAATTCAGAAATGGTCGCAGCTGGGTTAAAGACAATTTCAGCTCCATTGAGTCCAAACATCAACCAGTTTAAAGCATGATGACGACCATAGCAAATATTTACAGCAATCTTTGCGTATTTTGTTTCGAATACAGGATGGCCGGTGTTGCCAGGTAGATAATAAGCGGTTTCACTAAAACTCCCGACACTTGGTAAATGGTTCTTGCGATGTTTACCCACGTAAATCCCATTTTCATCTATTACAACTGCAGTATTCCACCAAACGCCATTGTCATTCTCTAAAATTGGTGATATGATGACTAGATTATACTTCTTAGCCAATTCACTCAAGAAGTTAAAGCTGGGCCCCTTGTCTGCTGATTCCGCAAATTCTTTCCATTCTTCTTTCTCACGAGTGCATAAGAAAAATGGCATGTACCATGCTTCTTGAAGACAAAGGATCTGAACACCTTCCGAAGCAGCAGTTTCAATAATTTTCTTGACTTTGTTAAAGACAGCGTTTCTCTGTTGTTCAACTGGCTCCGATGTCGGTAAAACAATAGAGTGTTGAATCAAACCGACCTTGACGAGTTTAGGATTTCTAACCTCTTTGGCTGCATCGAAGGAATATGCAGCAATTTCAAAACCATGCAGCTTACCTGCTTCTAATGTTGAATCTTGAAGTTTTAGTTCACAATGATCAATTCTTCCATAATGAATTCTGTGATATTCCTTCAACTGTTCAGGATTTAATTTCTTTTTAATAATTTCGTCTAAATGCAGTGACTGGGTGGCCATATCTGGTATGTGATAATTATAAATAGCTTTAGTATATAAACAAGATTGATAAACGTTACGCAACGATGTGGGCGATGTAAATAAGCGTGGCTTGTGTAACTAATCGAAGTTTAACAAGTTGGCGCGCGACTCGTTGTGAATTAACACTACCTAGTGTATTATTCCAGATTGGTCAACGTTTGATTAAAGATTTGTTTACGTTACGTTGGTACTTGTTAAGTGCCAACATAATGGTACTTACTCATTGTTTCTATCTTTTTAGAACTTTATTGTCACTTACATATAATTTTTGAACACTAACTTAGGTCATCAACAGCCTATAAATGCCCAGTGCTGAGCAAAGCCTCTTCTCACACGGAGAAGGTTTGAGCATTATTCACCACGCTTGCTCAATGCGGGTTGGCGATTACAAACTTATATTTAGAAATTATAAGCCCAGGTTTCCTCACGATGTTTTCCTTCACCGTTTGTCAGTGGTGTCTAAATAATCTTAGAAAGTACATATAACTCGGATAAAGTCACTTTGGTTCTTGCCGTTGGTGGGTTTCGAACCCGCATTCTCATGCATGAGAAGCCAGCGTCTTAAACCTCCGGGCCACCACGACATTTAACTTAGGTACAGTTAGAGCATGCATTGTAACAGCTGTAAGCCCCAACAGGGCAGGCCGTCTGACTGCGTATGGGAATGGGCCCACATCCATTCCAAACTTGTATTTTCTCTTATGCATTTGAAGACATACACGATTACATATCTCCGGTCACCGTAAGCGCGGGCCTGCGGACGGCGAGCATGGGTGGCTCCCCGTCCGACCAGTAAACAGACCCGAGCGTACGGCGCGTCGCGTTCCGCGCGCGCCTTAAAGACCCATCAGACTACCACAGATGGGGCCCAACAGGGCCGATGCCGATTCGGAGTCGCGGAGAACCTAACGGGTTACCGGGGCTCCGGCTCGACGTGCAGGAGAAGGAACGGTGTGGTTTTGTTGTCAGTAAGCTCCCGCCTGAGTAAGGCGGGAGTGTCAGACTCCCGCCTTACTCAGGCGGGAGCAGTCATTCGATGGTTTTACCTCCTTAAAAGAAAAACGATTACATATACCTATATCACCCCCAAAACCAGGACAACAGAGTTGTGGATCACACAAAGACTTATTCCATGCGGGAATCGATCCCGCGACATGTCATACTGTAGCCGGTTACTCAGTCACTGCACGCTTCTCTATAAAAAGCAGATGCACTTGTAACTGCTAAGCCTGAGGACTTAAGTAATTATTTTCTAAGCATGGTATGGGATTTCTCTCTACATGATCATTAGAGAAAGTCAATTAGGTATACTAAGTGATTGCACATATTCAAGTACACAGCATTAGTCGCAGTCATCCAGCCTTTTGCGCTGCGACGCACCATAGGCTTTTTGTGTGTACCTAAATTCTTGTTGTGTGTCGTGGTGTAATAAATGTTTTTTTTTTCTTTCCTTCATACTTTCTTTCTTAGTATAAATAGATATTCGTACTTCCTCCCTATTTGGATGACATAGTGTAACCTTACATTATACATAACTTAAGGTACTTTATTATGTGAGAATAAAGTACCTTAAGTTAACTTTTTTAGTCAGTAAGAGTCTGACACTCCCTCCCACCTCACCCAGGCGGGAGCTGTCATTCGATGATTTTTCCCCTTAAAAAAAGTTAACTTATATATATATATATATAGAATAAAGAACATAGAAAAAATATATAGAATAGAATAAATAACTTATATATATATATATGTATGACGGCGGGAGTGGTTCGGTATCGCTCATTGTGGGCCTCCGTGGATAGTGTTAACACGAGAATTACACAAGGCTTCACTTTTGCAATCGTTTTAATATTCAATCACAATCAAATAGAAATTACAATTAAATAGAAATTACACAGCAGATGGAACGCGTGATAGTTTCAGTGTCGTCTGCACGGGGTGAACTCCAACCAGCCAGTGCTCCGCTAGCGGCCGCTGCCCCGGTCCACTGGCAATCCCCACCCCGGTGCATTCCAACACTAACTCCATCGAACGCCACTAGATGGCGCTGGCGTCCCAAAGCTGTTTCCTGATATTGCCGACACGGCCATCCTGCTATCACACGTCCTCGTGTGTTGGACCACCTGGAATAGAGGAAAGGCCACAACAGTACACCATGGTTCATATAGTGAAACCCTACGCAATAGGGTAGTAAAACAAACTCTATGCTCTAGGTACACCTAGCTTATTTATAGCTCAATCATAAATGTCTACTACAAAATCACTATACATACACTACATATAGTATACCACAGTCAAGTACCACCTTCGTCATGACAAGTACAACTACAATAGGTTACAATCAGATTTACAGAAATCTCCGAGTAAAGGCCTCCAACTCCACGGCTCTCTAGCCGACCAGCAATCGCATTGCTCTCTCACTCATCTCAGTACGCATACCCATCGAATGGATCACCCGTGCACACCACCTCTGCGGTTACACGCTACGGTCTCTACAGACCACGACCTCCGCCAGAGTTGAAAGCACACCGCGCACCCACGGACTACTTGAGTTTCCTCAAGAGATACTGATTTCTATCGGGCTACGACTACTAAACAACTACTGGTACGGTCGAATACATTACGGACGATGGAGTCATTCACTCGAGTTTCTCTAACCTTCTATACTTCAACATCATCAACATGATCCTCCAATACATCAATCTCGACTGGTACTTGACTTGCTGGCATTTTCCTTAACCTATCGTGAGCAAATTTGTACGTACGTTTACAATTCAAAGATTTCAGTGTATAACGATCACCTTCCAAAACTTCCACCACTTTAAATGGTCCTCTGAATTTCGAATCTAATTTTGTCTGATTTCGCTCTTCGTTCTCTAACAATACAAAATCGCCAATTGCAAAATTATTAACTTTCGACTTTGTTGCATCAAATCGGGACTTATCGTAATCCGCACACTTCCTAATATTGTCAGATGCTACTTTACGCATTTGGTCAATGTCAACGTCAGTCTCTACCTCATTACTACACATCAGTGATAACGGTCTTGCAACTTTACCAATAAAAAGCTCTAGAGGCGAAGCTTTTGTTGTACGGTTCATCGTACAATTTATCGCGAGCTGTACATCACCTATAGCGTCTTGCCACGATCTATTATCACTAGTCTCTATCGCAGTTAGCATAGACTTTAACACACTCATGACACGCTCAACCTGCCCGTTCGCACGAGATGAACCAGTCGCTATAAGATGCAAATTAATGTTCTTGCTCTCGCAAAAATCCCGAAAATCTCTACTTGCTAAACATCTTCCCTGATCGGCAATGATGCGACTCGGAGCACCAAATAGAGCTACACTTTGAGTAACCGCACGTATACTACTCTTAGAATCAATGTTTGTCGTATGAAACAAAAGAACGTACTTCGTAAAAGCGTCAATCAGAACAAAAATGTACTCCTTCTTATCATTTTTACCGCTAAGCTTACCCGTAGCGTCTATGTGAACCGTGTGCCATGGGATTGTCACTTTAGGGATCGGATGCAATTCTGCTTGGATCTTCCCGGAATGAGATTTTGCGACTTTACACGTGACACAGTTATCTACAAACTTCTTTACGTACTGCGACATCCCCGGAAACCAATAAAAATCGAAAAG